AAGATCTTCAAGTATTTGCTCTCTTACTCCAGATACAACACATTTTGAGTCAAGACTCAAAACTCACATGGAGCTTGCGTTTGGTGTCTGCTCCAGCAGCCCTTCCCCGGTTGAGCGCACTTTCTGCGGCAGACTTCTTGACTTTGCATGTGACTTCCTGTCTGCTTATTGCTTCCTGCGCTGCCAAGCCTTCTACATAGCTGCTTGTGAGCTCTTTGACCTGCTTCCACGGAGCGCTCTGCGATTTGCGCTGGAACCACGTCTCAGCTACCTGCTTTTGCTGAACTATCACTGAGGTCTCAGTCAGATGAACGCTGCCGGACCAGCGTTGTACGCATGAAAGACACAATGGTTGAACCCGCTGTTTGCATTTCACGGCTGAGGAGATGGCAAAACCACTGAGAGACTGTTGGGATTTGCGGAAAGTTATCCTATGATTGACCAGGAGGGGCTGTCTGCAGAGCACGCATTTGCTAGCTACAGGCGTTTCGCTGGACAGAAGGGTCGGATCAACAATGTATCGTCCAGTCTGCAAACTCTTCTGGTCCTCAAAACCTAGTCTGAGAGCTGGGGGGTCCCTCTGCTGAGATGGCATGGTCCCTGGTGCGTTGCCTTGGCTCGGGTTGCGGCTGTCTGCAGGCTTCGAGCTACGAAATCTGATAAAACCACTTTGATTTATGTGGGAATTTATACCCTGCAAGTCAAAGCTGCTCCGGCCTTGATCACAGTATTTCCGTCGACTGGTCGACTGCCGCCTGCTATTCAGCTATGATCACGTAGTTTATCTCGTTTTCTAGGCGTGCAACGTGGTTTATTTTACTGTTAGAGCGTGCAACGTAGGTCATTTCTGAGCGGTTTATGAGCGGTTATACCACGTGGTCGACCCGGTCGGAGTATAAGATTCCCTGGTTCCGAAAAATTCAGTAGGTCGGGGCGCAAAAAAACGCGAAAAGGGGGGGTCGGGGCGGCCGAAGGCCGCCCTGCCGGGGGGGCCGAAGGCCCGCAAAAGGGCTGGGGGGACGAAGTCCGCTCCCGTAGGGCGACCAGGAGGACCTGATGAGTCGTGATGAACCGGGCGCGCTCGCGAGTGGTCAAAATAATTATGTAGATGCAAAACAACAACTTGGACATATTACAGGCCTTCCGATCT